GTGTTAAATCTAGGAAGATTCAGTTATGGTCACATTGCAAGCTGCAAGTAGGGCTATACAATCGGGTTCCATTGGCGGCATCAAAAAGAAAAGGGAGGATGTTTCAGCTGTCACTTACCAGCAAGGAGGACCGTCCCACCGATACCCCAGTAATCTCCAAATCGCATACTTCATACGTTCCATACCCAGTATATAATACTCAACCACACTATAATACACCCTGAGCACTAGTATACCAAAATTCTCCAAGACTATATGTCCTTTTCCAAGCACCAATCCACCAAAATAGACCAGCATATGCACCGAGACCACATCCAAATATTGAAGCTAGAAATGCTCGCACTTACACATCAATTGTCAAACCCTACGCCTAATTGTTTGAGAGGTTGAGGGCAGCATGAGTGCTACAACCAGTTGAAGGAAAACTTCCTGATCCAATCCCTCATAATTTTGATGGAAACAAGCTATGCGCTTACCGCTCGGGAATCCAAGGACACGACATAGAAGATTGTTATGGGTTGAAGAATCAGATCGATTCTTTGATCAGAAGAGGAGTAATCAAATGCACTCCAGCGCCTCCCAATTTGAACAATAACCCCTTGCCAAACCATGAGAATCGGGAAGTCAACATAGTTACTCTAGATGAAGAATATGGGGAACCTGACTGCCCAGACATAGATGAACCAGAGGCCATGACATCTTCGGCGCAACCTATTATCACTGTTCAACTAAGGGAACCTCTGACTGTCCAAACATATCTCCCAAGAGTTGTAGTGACCACTCTAATTGCTAGAAAGCCTGAATATGACACCAAAGTAGTCCCATGGGACTATTGAGTAGACGCCAAGGGCAAGATGATCGACACTGCCGTAGCTCAAGGGATGACCAGGTCGGGGAGGTGTTATGTCCTAGAGGATCTAAATCAAAGAGCTCTTGGAAAAGAACAGAATCCAAATAAGAATGTTACCGATGCTGAAGCCGCAAAATTTCGGAAGAAGATGCAGCCTAAAGACTATTCAGTCGAAGAGCAGTTGAAGAAGACGCTAGCCTACATATCCATTTTGTCTCTGCTTATGAGTTATGAAGCTCATAGGAATGCTTTGGTGGAAGTGTTAGACGGAGTGAACATTCTGAAAGAGACCACAAGTGAAACTTTAGCTTCAACGATTGGAAGAATTATGGAAGCTAACAAGATTTCTTTCCATGATGATGAGTTGCCTGTAGAAGGGGCTGGACACGACAAAGCGCTTCACATTGCAGTCAAATGTTGTGATAAGATTGTGACTCGAGTTCTAATTGATGGTGGTTCTGGATGCAACATCTGTCCTTTCACCACTCTGAAGGGTTTAGGTGTTAATATGGGAGAGATAAAGGAAAGTCGTGTGAAAGTTAGAGCTTTTGATGGAGCGCAAAGAAGTGTCATTGGAGAGATCTATCTCACATTGCAGGTGGGGCCGACTGAATTCCCCATCATATTTCAAGTAATGGATGTATCATCCAACTACAACCTGTTGCTGTGAAGACCATGGGTTCACATGGCAAGAGCGGTTCCTTTCACTTTTCACCAATGTGTAAAGTTTGAGTGGGGTCGCACAGAAGTTACCATCCACAGAGAGCTCTGTCACCTCATTCTTTCTGTTAATTCTATCCCAGTCGCTGACGAGTTAGACGGAGCCACCTTTCATACTTTGGAAATTATGCAAGCTATAAGGGTCGGTGAGGAAGCAGAGGCAGGCAATACAAAGTTGTCATGTGCAACAAAAATGGTTGCGTCAGAGATATTGAAGTTTGGATATCAGCCTAAGAATGGGCTTGGACCTAAGTCCAATGGCATAGTTGAGCCGATCCAGCTGAAGCATCAGAGAGGCACTAACGAACTCGGATATGAGCCTACCTCGGGAAGAGGCTGTCACTTTGAGCCGATCCAGCTGAAGCATCAGAGAGGCACCAACGGACTCGGATATGAGCCTGCCTCGGGAAGGGACCATCACGGGTCAAGCAATACAATTTTTGTACCAGAACAAGCTTTGATTCCAGATCAAGCTGGCATTGATGACATCATAGAAGGAATAGGCAATCTTTTTGTGGCCATGACTGGAGAAGAGGAAGGGATAAATCTCTACAAGATGACCATTTGTGATGCCGAACCTGGAGAAATCTTGCAGAATTGGACCACCATCCCGTCTCTATTTCAACCAGAGTCCTGGTAGTGTGGAAAAGTAGTCATAATTTTAAAAATTCGCATGATCAAATTTAGGCTTGAATCATTCCTAATCCTTTGTTGCTTGGCTCTTCTAAAAGCTAGAATGCTTTGAAATAAAAAGTCTTTATTTTCTTAAAAAATTCCTCGTTATTTTAAATATCTATTTATTTTTACTTACCTTTTGCACTTTTCAGCACTCATATTAATAAAAATCCTCGTTCAACGGTTACGACATGTAACGAATCCATCGAGCAAGGTGAAAGCGATGAACAAGATCACAAAGAGTATGATGAAAACATGATGCCGAAAAACCTACCACACGAGATCGAGCAGGTTGAAAGTTAGAAGAAACTCAATATGGATGAAACAGAGGTTGTCAACTTAGGAGATGAGGAAATCCTGAAGAAGACACGAGTCAGCATATATTTGGAGGCTGAAAGAAAGCAAGAGTTAATAGAATTGCTTAAGTCAGTATGTTGACGTATTTTCTTGGTCTTATGATGACATGCCAAAATTAAGCATTGATATTGTCTCGCACAAATTATCGACTGATCCCACTTGTCTACCTGTTAAGCAAAAGACAAGAAAATTCAAGCCAGATTTGAGCTTAAGGATCAAGGAGGAGGTAACTAAGCAAATTGAGGCGAATGTTGTGAGGGTTACAAATTACCCCACATGGTTAGCCAATATTGTGCCTGTGCCAAAAAAGGATGGAAATATAAGAATATGTGTGAATTATCGAGATCTCAATAGGTCCAGTCCTAAGGATGATTTGCCTCTTCCAAATATTCATATACTCATCGATAATTGTGCAAAACATGAGTTGCAATCATTTGTCGATTGCTTTGCAGGATATCACCAGATCCTGATGGATGAAGATGATGAAGAGAAGACATCATTTATCACTCCATAGGGAGTGTATTCTACAAAGTAATGCCATTTGGTCTAAAAAATGCCAGTGCAACGTACATGAGGGCCATGACTATCCTTTTTCACGATATGATCCACAAGGAAATTGAAATGTACGTGGATGATGTCGTTATCAAATCCAAAAGAAGTTCAGACCACCTGGATGACTTACGAAAGTTCTTTGAGAGGTTGCGTAAGTATAATCTGAAGTTGAATCCATCAAAGTGTGCATTTGGAGTACCCATGGGAAAGCTATTGGGATTTATCGTTAGCAGGAATGGCATAGAGTTAGATCTATCAAAGATAAAGGCAATCCAAGAGCTACCTCCACCCAAGACCATGAAGGATGTGATGAGTTTCTTAGGTAGACTGAATTACATCAGTCAGTTCATAGCTCAATCCTCAGTGATCTGTGAACCCATATTCACATTACTGAAGAAGGATGCTGCCACAAAATTGACAGAGGAATGCCAAAAGGCTTTCGATAGAATCAAAGAATATTTGTCCAACCCACCAGTATTGGTTCCACCAGAGCCTGAAAAGCCTTTGTTATTGTATCTATCTATCATGGATAATGCATTTGGATGTGTATTGGGGCAACATGATGAGACAGGTAGAAGAGAGCAAGCTATTTACTATTTGAGCAAGAAGTTCACACCATACGAGGCAAGATACACCTTGTTGGAACGAACATGTTGCACTTTGACTTGGATTGCACAAAAAATTAGGCATTACCTGTCTGCATACACCACGTACTTGATCTCAAGAATGGATCCACTAAAGTACATCTTTCAGAAGCCCATTCCTACGGGTAAATTAACGAAGTGGCAAATTTTGTTGAGCGAGTTTGATATTATGTATGTGACACAGAAGGCCATCAAAGGACATGCCCTGGCTGATCACCTCGCAGAAAACTCGGTGGACCAGGATTACAAGCAACTCATGACCTATTTCTCTGATGAAGAGGTTTTGTTTGTAAGAGAAGACATATCAGAGTCATATGATGGATGTATAATGTTCTTTGATGGAGCATCAAACTCTATTGGAGTTGGAATAGGAGCAGTTTTAATTTCAAAAACAGGTCAGTATTACCCGATCTCAGCCAAGATCAGGTTTTATTGTACTAACAACATCGCAGAATATGAAGCTTGTGTTCTCGGACTCAGAATGGCCATAAACATGAATATCAAAGAACTCTTGGTGATAAGAGACTCTGACTTGTTGGTTCATCAAGTGCAAGGAGAATGGACCACTAAGAATGTCAAGATCCTTCCTTATTTGCATTACATAAAAGAGTTGAGTAGGAGATTCACGAGGATTGAGTTCAAGCATGTCCCTCGAGCTCAAATTGAGTTTGCCAATGCTTTGGCAACATTGTCCTCGATGATTCAACATCTAGAAAAGAATTACATTGACCCTATCGATATAGAGATACATGATCAACATGCATACTATTTTCATGTAGATGAGGAACTGGATGGAAAACCCTGGTACTATGACATCAGAAGATTGATAGAAGCACAAGAACATCTTGAAAATGCTACAAGCAAGCAGAAACAGACTTTGAGGAGGATGGTCAATCATATTTTACTTAACGGAGAAATCCTATATAGGAGAACTTCGGATTTCAGATTGCTAAGGTGTGTCGACGCCGCAGAAGCGACAAGGCTTTTGGAAGAAATACATGCAGGAACATGTGGACCTCACATGAATGGGTTCACTTGGCAAAGAAGTTCTAAGAGCCAGATATTTTTGGATGACCATGGAGAGAGATAGCATTCGGTATGTGCAAAAGTGTCATCAGTGTCAAGTGCATGGATATTTTATACGGGTTCCACTGAATGAGCTCAATGTGATGGGTTCCCCTTGGCCATTTGCCGCTTAGGGCATGGATGCTATTGGGCCCATAGAGCCTCCCGCATCAAATGGACATCGTTTCATCCTGGTGGCTACTGATTATTTCACAAAATGGGTCGAAGCTTGTACATACAAGGCAGTGACTAAGAAGGTAGTGAAAGACTTTGTTCGCAATAACATAGTTTGTCGGTTTGGAATTCCAGAATCAATCATAACAAATAATGAGGCCAACCTCAACAACGATCTTATGAAGGAAACTTGTGAAAGGTTGAAGATTGCTCATCGAAATTCCATGGTTTACCACCCACAGATGAATGGGGTAGTTGAGGCTGCAAATAAGAATATCAAGAAGATTTTAAGGAAAATAGTGGACAGTCAAAGTAATGGCATGATAAGCTACCATATGCTTTGCTCGGTTATCGCACCACAATTAGAATGTCAACTAGGGCAACTCCTTATATGTTGGTTTATTGTTCGGAGGCAGTAATACCTACCGAGGTGGAAATACCATATTTAAGGATTATCCAAGAGGTTGGTCTGGACGATGCAGAATGGATACGTACCAGGCATGAACAATTGATGCTCCTCAATGAAAAGAGGATGGACGTGGTTTGTCATGGACAACTCTATCAGAACAGCATGACCAAAGCATTCAACAAGAAAGTCAAACCTCGACAGTTCACACCAGGGCAGTTAGTATTGAAGAAGATCTTTCCTCACCAAGGAGAAGCCAAAGGGAAATTTGCAGCAAATCGGAAAGGACCCTACATGGTTCATAGAGTACTCTCTGGAGGAGCGGTAATCTTAGCAAAAATGGACGGCAGAGTGAGCACGAAGCCAATCAATTCAGACTCTATCAAGAAATACTACATCTGAAGACCTCAAGATTAGCGCTTATTTTTGGTACTTTTGCATTTTGATGTAACATAATTACGTCTAGACCTGACTTCCCACGGTGGGGTACATAGACAACCCACATCGGATTTGGTCTCCCTTAGAAAACCCAAAATCATCATTCCCATGTATTTAGAACTACACTCGACTTGACTTCCCTCGGTGGGATACGTAGGCAATCCTTGTCGGATTCGGTCCTTTGCATTTCATATTTTTCACTTTCCTTTTGTATTTGACCTACGTCCTGACCTGATTCTGCTTGGATACGTAGGCAGCCTGAGTCAGGCCCGGTCATTGCATTACATGTTCTTACTTTCCCCTTGCATATTTTTTACTTTTCTATTGTATCTGAACTACGTCCTGACCTGATTCCGCTTGGATATATAGGCAGCCTGAGTCAGACTCGGTCATTGCATTTCATATTGTTCATTGCATTACATACTTCTATTTCTCCCATTGTATTTGAACTACGTTATGATTTGGTTCCTACTTTGGGGATACGTAGGCAGCCTGAGTCAGGCTCAATCAATGCACTGCATAATTACCATTTGTTTCCTTACCCTTAGGAAACATTCTTCATAGTTAACATAACCTCAGAATATGAAGAGTCTCAATCATCGCAGTGTCTGCAAAAGAGCTAGGAAAGCTTCATCATAAGGGTAAAAGTTACAAGAAGACTATGTTGGATATAGTCAACAAAATGGAAAGCTCGATGGACTACGGAACATGTCATAATCTAAAAATGCTGGAGAATTACTATACATATATATACCTAATATATAAGTAACATACTTATTTTTCTAGAAAAACAAGCTAATTCTTTTCAAAAGGATTTTTCTACTCTTCCACCTACCAAGTCTCTAGTTAAGAAACTATGTGCAGGCTAAGAAGACGTCGAGAGATTCCAGTGACGAGGCTTCAGTCCGCGAGTCAATACAAATCAACACCCCCTCCCAAACTAAATTTTTTCTTTAGCGCAAGAACACAAGCATCAAGAAATTAACATCAAGTCTCGGGGAATGATCGGAGGCGCCATTCGACCTCTACAATTATGAGCCAAAATACACTTTCCCTACTTTATTTCCTGAATGTACTTCAACTTGCATCTTATATCTAAGAATATTTCATTAAAATTTTTCAAGTACGCTCAAGATCCGGATGAAATGCTGAAGAAAAGAAGGCCCTCGTAGGAAAGTATAATAGTTAGCTTTCTGTCAAAATAACTCCACCAACTGGAGCTTGTAATCTAACCTCATCAACAACTCCGCCAATCGGAGACCACCGTCTAACAACGTCAAACTCCACAAGCCTGGGGTTGTACATAGCAAATGTCACTCAAACTCCACCGATTGGAGGTTGTACATAGCAAACATCGTCAAACTATGCCAACCGGAGGCTGTACATAGCAAACATCGTCAAACTCTGCCAATCAGAGGCTGTACATAGCAAATATCGTCAAACTCCGCCAACCGAAGGTTGTACATAGAAAACATCGATCGAACTCTGCCAATCGGAAATTGTAATAATTAAAGAAGCAACACTCTGCCAATCAGAGACCACATCGTAGTGATATCACTAAAGCTCCACCGACCGGGGGCATGCACGCATAGCAACGCTGTCATACACCTATAATTAAATTTACGTTACAAGCTTTTACATTACAACCGCCCCGCCAGCCGGAGGTCTACATTACAAGCTTTACACAGCCGGCTACAGGCTTTGACATTACAACAACCCCGCCAGTCGAGGGCCGCTACATTACAAGTTACTTTACCTACATTACATTCACAATATAATCGTTTGGACATCTACACTCTACTCTTTACATTACTATTTCGATTTATATTTTTTGAGCCACAGCATGTACTTTTCACCCTTTTATATGTTTTGCAGGACAACACATTACAACGAAGAACTACCTCTAAGCAGCAAACTAGGGCAAGTTAGTGCAATGTCAAGCATCACTAGCTACGTCAAGGATTCACTTTCAAAACTAAACTCGACTCAATTTTCAGAAGTTTGGATTTAAATCTTACTTATAATTACTTTATGTCTCAGTTCATTACAACTCGACAGGGCATCATTTTGAAAACACATCCCTCTACCATAGGTCTTTAGTAGAAATTGCTACAAAGCATTTCTCATTCACGTTTCTTTAGAACTATATCTCGTCCCTCTATTTGTGCTAATCTTTTCATACCTCACCACCAAAAGATTTCAGTATTACCATAATTCGATACTGGGGCAAATTTTTAATAAAAATTTGCTATGGTCCTACACTCTCGAACTACATGAAGCTTGATTTCTCATGAAACCTGAGATATGTAGGCAGCTCGGCAACCAGAGTTCGGCCACAACTCCATAAACATTCTTGCCAAGTTATTGCTCAAAGTGTATTTTGGTGGGTCGCCTAAAATTGAATTGTGTCAATATTTGTTTGTCCACGTCTTCTTTACTCTCTTCCATGGACAAAGAAATGGGCAAGCTGTTGACACCCAATTTTGGCTCTCCACATTTAACTAAAATAATAATATTAATATTAATAAAATATATATGTTATGAAGTTTTTATAGGGATACGAAAGGATTTTTAATTATTTATTTTTTACTTGATAAATTTATTTCGTAAATGTCATTTCTTATAAAAATTAAATGTATTGTATATGTATTACTACTTACTTTCTCCTTTTTAAATAAATGTCGTTCTTGTTATTTATTTGACTTGATAAATTTATTTCATAAATGTTATTTCTTATAAAAATTAAATATATTATATTACTACTTACTTTCTCGTTTTTAAAATAAGTGTCATTCTTAAGAATTGAATCTATTTTTGTTCAAATATAATTTCTTTTGTCGCAATAGATATTTTTCGTACATTTTTAAATTAGAAAGCTTAATTAATTAATGAGTTAATAGATTATATTAATTTAATTTTAAGAGTGACTAATTTTATCAAATAAGCTAATCCTGCAAAATAATTATTTTTAATTTAATAAATTATGACTATTTAATAAAGAAGAGGTTATAATTTAAATGAATTTGATTTGAGCAATTTTGGCAATCCAAGTCCCCTTAAACCGGCCAATCTGTGTGTGCCACGTAGGTGAGCACATTGATTGTGCTTCTTAACTTTTAATCTCATCCCTCTATTTTAATCCAACGGCTTTAATTAATTCATCTTTTTAATATATAATTATTATCAATATATATATACATATATTATTATTAATCTTTTTTTACCCTTGATTTTTATTGACCGTCCGATCAAACGATCGAACGGCCGAGATCAAACCAAAGACTTTTCAATATAGACTCCTACGCTACCCTTACTCTATTTCCTAGACATCACATTCCTCTCCCCTACCACCGCCCTATACTCTTTTTCCCAGAAGCGCGCCTCGTAGCCTTCTTCCCCAAAAGAAAAATCAATGCGTCTCTTCACCTTTCCAGATGCCCAGAACTCGTCTACGCCGTTCTCTCCCATCGCTGCCCATCACGCCGCCCACCTTTTCCCTCAGACTACTCACTAGCTATCTTTCTCCATAGACGCCAGAACGTTCTCTCCCATCACCACCCCACGTGATCCCCCATCTCCCTATTAGAAGAACGACTCTGGGTCACCGGAAAACACCTTATCAATCACTCAATCATCTCGAATTGACCTGGAAAGGTCGATTCTTGAGAGATTTTTCATCCCCTTCATCATTAGTCCTTCTGCTTTGGATTTTCAAGAATTCAAAAATTTGAATTCTTGAGGCCAATAGAGGTTACGACTTGGCTATAAAAGGATCCATTTGGTTACTTCTGAAGACGGAGAAAAAATTATCCAAAAAATGGGACAAAAACAGAAGCAAAAAAGGCCAGAAACTATAAAAAAAAGATCCAACAAAGATCCGAAAATCATCGAAAAGACATCCAAGAATCAATGTCCTTTTTATTTTCTTTCTTTGAGGTCGAGTTCGAGGAAGTTTGAAGTTGAAATCTTGACACAAGCTTTAGTTTGCTGCTCTACACAAGGTTAGCATTCTCTCTGGATTGTATCTTTAATTTCATATACAACTTTGACCTTGTTATTATCTTGAACGTGTTACTTGTCTTCATATTTTTTTTCTCTTCTTCTCTTATTTTCCTTGTTAATATAAGTTTAAAATTCCTGTACAAGATTAACTATTTATTGTTTTGTCAAATAGGTCATTAAATCTTTTCATGCTTTAAATAGCTGTTTTAAAAATGCTTTTGTTTCCATGACATTAAGATATATATATATATATATATATATATATATATAGTGATCCTGTGAAATATGAACTCCTAAGTGCAAGTCAGTTGATCTATTGGAACATGTTATGAATTTGTGTTCAAAATTCTAAGCATTGTTGCATACATTATGTACTAAAAAATAAAAAACGAATATGTCCATGTTAAGGAATATATTCATAGTTTGGCGTTAATTAACTGTAAAGTATGTCTTCATTTTGCTATCGTATTTTAGTATGAACTTGGCTCGCGCAGGATCGATATTGTCTTGATCAACGATTAACCGTATCAAGTAAAATGTCTTCTTGTTAATATGTTTTTCTCTTAGTTTTGGTTGAGTAATTTTCAAGTCTGTGACTATAAGAGATACCCTTTTATTGAAACATCAAAGCATGAATTAATTTGATTTGGCAGATTGTAAAATAAGTCTCTGGTTATTTGTTTTTGTTTGAGAAGGCTCTTTTCACTATTGTATATTTTCTCTTGTGAAACATAACATATATGACCTTCATTATTTAAGATTTTTCTGCAAGTTTTCTTCTGTTTGTGGTTTGGCTAAGAGATTTAGACTTGAAAAAATGGACAACAATGAATGAATGCCTGCTTAAAACTTTCTCTTGTGTATGCATATAAAGAGAATAAATATAAGTGAGGAGTAGTAGCCCTCATCTCATGCCTAAACTTATTGAAATCAATACACATTTTCTTAATATTACTTACTTT